GAGTTTCTGTTAGCTAAGGTAAAACTGATAGACTATTGCTAAATATTCAGTGAAAATGCAGAATTAGGAAGCAGCAAATGTGACTGGAAATTTTTTATTACAGTGAAAATTCTATTTAATATCAAGTCCAATAATTTGTTTAGTCATACTTTCATTGGCTGCGACTTTGCTTTTCCTGTATTCGCATTTTTGGCACCATATGTTAAACTGTCTTACACAATGCCATTGGTTATCTAGAAATGATAAATCTGCTCATTGATTTCCTAATTTTATTATGTACATAGTTAATTGTAATCCAAGATTACAGCAAACAAGATGTTAATTTCTAGACAACCAATGTACATTTCCCTCGGAGTGCGATTGTTACAGAAGCAAAGAATACAAAGAGAATACCATTTGTGCTATCCTCACAGGAGCTGTCAATAAAAGATGTAATAGGGGATTTAGGAATCTGGAAATGGCCAACTAATTTATGTGAATCTATTTTATTTCAGCTAGAAAGACCAAGCTCTGTTTCGTCTGCACTGCATATTGCAGAGCACAGGCTGTCTATAGAAAACCAGGCGGCTGCATATGGATAGTCCCTTGATATCATTCACTTGCTGTGTAATCTTATTATGCAAAGTTCTAATCTTCACCTAGAATGAATGCCTCTGGGTCAGAATATAGTCATATCAGGGTTTTTGAGGTCATGTTTTGTGATCCTTAGCTTATTCTTCTAAGTAGGGCTGGGATTTAAAGAGTATTCCCCAGACACTAGCAGAGATAGATGGCAAAACCTGCTGCCTTTTTGGAAGACAAGACCAACATGAGGTCCCTGGTAGGATTAAACTTGATTTGTAGCTGTAGGATTTTTTAACAGATGTATTATTGGACAGGGAATAGGGGGCCACCAGCACAGCGAAATTGGATCACGATTGGCATTCTCAGGGAGTCTGCTGGCTGCTAAAACAGCAGCTGCATGTGGATTTGACTTCTTTCAGGTGAAGCGACTTCCAGTCATTTGGAAAGGATGGGATGAAAAGGAACCTTGGTGATAATTTTGATGTCTGCAAGATTTAGTACCAATGTAATGGGATTATCGGTAACACCTTCACTGCAGAAAAAGCCACCTGGCGCTATAACTGGCAGCAACTGAGAACTAATCCTTTCCCATCTCTTGGATGTCATTCATGAGGCTCAAAGTGATTTCCACCCTGCTAGCTGTGATTAATTTTATAAACAAACAAACAAAAAAAAATCTGAAATGATGAAGGCAGACTATGTAAGGAAAAGGGAAGAGAAGATAATAGTAATTATACTTTGCACTTTATTTGCTGCAGGGGATAAATAATACCGTTCTTGTAAAATAACCAAATTGTATTCTGTGTGATAAATATGGATGTGTAACCTTTTTTAATCAATGTCTATGTTTGGTATAAAAACAATGTCTATATCAGTATAAAATTTTCAGCTACCTACTATATGATAGTAGGTAGTACCTGGAAGTAATTACAACAGGTTTAATGCCGTTAGTTCTGTGATAAGGATGTTTATACAACAGATCCATTAAGTTTTCAAGGGCCCTGTGACTTAAATTATTTGTTTTATTGTGCTTAATGGTCTTATGCTGTATCTGGTGGAGTTGCCTGCTGACAGCACTTTGATTAAAATTAATTGTGTGATGTGGAAAAATGTTCAGCCGGTTACTTTCTTGTGATCAACAATATGGCATTGTTTTAAGAATGTACTGATAAATAGTTTTCTGAGGAAACAATTATATTTTACTGATGCTTAAGCTAGAGCAATTGTAACATAAATATTCTGTGGGGTTTTTTTAAATAAACTAGAGTTGTTTGTTTGGTTTGGGTTTTTTGACTGGGTTTTCTACAACCATTCGCTTAATTAGAAGTTGTTACTTAAAACTACATGGAAACTTTCAGGACTGTAGTTATTCTGTGGAATGGACATTAGATGTCTAAAGACGGACCTTAATGTTAAAAACAAACCCCCCCAAACCTTCTGAAGTTATCTCGTTACGTTCAAACTGCGTATAATCTAGGTATGTATGTATAAGCCTTAATTTGAAATTTAACTTGAGTGGTAATAAAAAGCCTTATACAAGAGCTTTTTTTTCATCATTATCACAAACATCTGATAAGCCTGAGCATTTTAAAAAAAACTCGGCGCACCACATTTATAAACTGGGACTGGTGAAATCCATGGGTGTTGGTTTTGCGTGGCAAGGTTTTGGTAGCGGGGGGGGTGTGTGTGTGTGTGTGTGTGTTTCATTGTACCTTTTCTCCCCTGTCTAATGAAAGAGGGGAGTGATAGAGCGGCTCTGGTGGGCACCTGGCCCTCAGCCAGGGTCAACCCACCACACCATGTCTCAAGGCTTAAGAATTTATTTTAAGAGAACTGTGAACAAAACTTCAGACCTCTTCACTCATGTTCCATCCTCGTGGCTAGTTTTATACCGTGACAGGTCTAGCAGTAGGCAAAGCTCACTCTGAGCCCTGTGTTTCCTTGAATAATTTACTAATCTATTGCTCCCAATTCAGAGTTACTCAGAGACATCAGAGAGAAACGAAATGTGTTCAGTGTAACCAGTGGGAAGCACGTGCCATCCAGAGTCTAACAGGAAACCAGTTCAAAACTTTGAAAATAAGTTTTTAGAGACATACAGCAATTGTTTGTAGTTTCATGATAAAAAAATATTTTAGTCATAGCCTAATAGCTGTTGGCATGAGAGGTTTACAGTTTCTTTTAATGAGTCTGTTGTTACCATTCCATTTGGCACAATCAGCAATATCTAGCTGCTCTGGTCAATGTAATACCATGTTTATACAATTCCTTTTTACCTTAATATCCACAGGTGCCTGCGTTCTGTGCTGCCTTAATATATTAATGTAAGGTTTCTGAATAGTATAGATCTGAAATACAGGATGGTTGTGCTGTATTTTTCTGTCTGAGAAGCAATGTGAGGCTGCCTTTCTAGCAGGTGCCGTTAAGAACTATTGATGATGTACTTATCTCAAAAGATACTTGTGCTGGTAATTCACACTAGTTGTGCAACTCTAATCAATCTGCTGCCACTTTATCTTCCTTTTATCACCTGTAACACATTTCTGGCCCTGAGACTAAGGAGTTGGGCCGTGCTTTTCATAGCATACTGGGTTGAGAAGAGCAAAACACTTTTCTGGCTCTCCAAAATAAATTCTGCTGAAAGCACATTTCTCTCACAACAGAACTGTTTCAGTTTTTACAGGGTGTCCTGCAGTGTGCTGGGCGCTGCACGTGCTAATGGAACAATTCAAGACTTCTGGTTTCTGTTGCGTTTTGGTTCATTACTGTAAAACTCGTTAGCTAATATTAAGGATGATGAATCACTGATTGGTTTAAGTGGTTTTATTCTGGAGATCTTTTATGTAAAAAAAAAAACAACCACAAACTTTTTTTTTAAAAAACATTTTGGAACAAGGAATTGAGTTTGGTAGAGAATGTTTTCCCCCAAGAATGGTCATCTTTTCCTTATAAATAAATACTAAATGCAAAGAACTAAAGACACTTTTGACTGTATTCAGGCAAAATTCCCATTAACTCATAGAGAGTTGTGCAAGTAAAGCTATGCCCTTTTAAATGCCTGCATTTAAATAGCAAAAAGTCATGAAATATAGAAGGGGAGGTCTTCATTATTAAGTAGGGCATATTGTACATGCAGCATTTTTCTTTTCTTTTTAACTTACTGCATTTGTTTACCAAGCTATATTGAGCCATCTTAGTAAATGAGGAAAATCTTGCTGTGGCTTTAATTCATGATAAAGCTGATACTGAGTTTAAGGGGGACAGGTATCTTGTGGAATGTAAGACTTGCTTTCATTACTTCAGTGTGTTTTCCACTTCCTTAAATAGAAATATAAATTAAATTCTTAAAAATTGGTGTAAGGAGGTATATGAGTTAGATTAATATTGCAGTAATTGCAATTAGTCATCAGAGTTTGATGTAAATATTTGGGAGGGAGGATCCAAAGATTTTTACTGAGTCCTTTTATGTGCTGCAGAACTTATGCCACTGTACTAGAGCTGAGAACAGAAAGACCTAATGCCTTATTTTTATATGCAAGTGTTTTGGTAATGAACAAAAGGAAAGCTTTGCAAAACCTCCAGAAATATTGTCGACAACTGTATTTTTTTTTCTAGTCCTGTTTAGGCAAACCATTCAGGGCTCCATTATCCTTAATTTTGTCTAGTTCTTCAAGCCTATTTTCATTTGGTTGATTGTCAGGTCGTTTTTGAAGTTTTGGTTGACTACTTGATTACTCCAGTTTTCTGTGAATGTAATTTCAGTTGTGAAATATCTTCAAATCACTTCAGATGGTTTGATGCTTCTCTGTTTTGCTGTTGAGTATTCAGTTAAATACTAGTGCTTGAAGAAAAACAGTGATTTAAGTTGCACTGTCTTCACGTGATTAAAACAACTCTGTCAAGTGTTATTTAATAAATAACTGCATCTGAGTTACAATATGTGGTCCAGTCAGGAAGTCAAAGCCTGTGTGAAAGGTATGATTACAGCTCTCCAGATTCCATTGAGCCAAGCCTAGTGGAGGGGGGGATGTTGTCAAACTACTGCAGATATTTAGACATGTGGCAGGTAAGCCTGGTTGCAGTCTCGAGTAAAAGGAGCCCAGCTGAGTCAGTGGAGAGCACTGACACCAGAATGGTGGTTTGGCAAAGGTGGTATTTTTTTTCTTTTTTGTTTCAGCTCCTACTCAACTGAATCTTACTACTAAGCTGATGAGAGGGGTCAATTGATTGTACACATCTGTGTTGTAAACTAAAGACATTGATGGCATTTCAGTTTAAACTATATTCATCTCCTCAGATATATCTGATTATTTGTTGGTTTTATTCACTGTTTTTTGTTTGTTAAATATTGTCCATCGGTTGTTTAGCTACAAAAGATAGTTTTGTAAATGTTAGGTTGTTTGTTATCAAATGAATGATACTCTTCTGTTTTACTATAGACTAGAACCAGCTGAACGACGTACACTGTACCATGCTTCGCAATGTCCTAGGAAAAACCTTTCGATTTCTTGGGTATACTGTGCAATATGGCTGCATAGCGCATTGTGCCTTTGAGTACCTTGGAGGAATTGTTGTGGTAACTTTTCATTTTCATGACATTTCAAAGAAAATAAAAACTATAATAAATTGTTACATGTGATAATGCCAGTATTTCACGTTTCTTCTATTTTTTTAAAGCTTTTTCAAAGTGTGTTTAGTAAATGCCTGTTTTTTTGGAGGCAGGTCTGGCCTTTATGAAAGTTACTGCATATTTCTTGCTAAGTTAGTGCTTGAGGTGTCACTGAAGCAAATGGGAAACCGATTTTGCAGAAAGTATTTTCTTTCAGAAAGACTGGAGTCACTAATAATTCCATAGGAAATGCTCGTTTCCACCTCTGGGCAGATTTCTGGCTATTTTGCCCCTACCTTCCTGTTTCTGAACCTAGCAGATACTGCTGCTGAATATAGTGGATTTTGGCTGTGAGCTGTTCTTGCAGCTGCTGTGATGCTTCTCTTTTTACAGAGCCTGAAGAAAGGGGTAAGCTGGCAGAGCTCCGAGTGCTGCTCCAAATAATTTCCTGCAGATTAGGTGCTCAGGGGCTCGTAGCACCTCGCACAGTGCAGGACCAATTCTCACTGTTCTAGTTGTTCTTTACATTACACCTTTTTCTAATTTATTAGCAAATAATTTGAATATTAATGTCTTTTAGATAAAAGTACTTGGAAATAGTAATTTTTTTTCTCATTTATTTTTAATTTGCAGTGTTCTGGACCTTCAATGGAACCAACCATTCAAAATTCTGATATTGTCTTTTCGGAGAACCTTAGCCGCCACTTTTATTGCATTCGAAAGTATGCTCCTTTGTTGAGACTAGATTTTACATTCTGTTTGCCAGAGCTTGTCAAGAACTGCATTCTGTCTGTCCTTTATTTTTCGTATATTCTTCTGCTTCTAAATTGTAATTTTTCATAGATCTCCTCTCATTGTGTTTGATGGAAGTTAAAGTAATCAGCACATACAGCCCATTGAACAACTTGTCAGAGCTCATTTAGGATGTAGTCCATGTCACTTTTACAGCTTTGTCCAAAAAATGGAAATATGTCCCGTTTTTTCCTGAAACAGTTCTATTGTGTGAATATAACTTCTCTCTAAGCAGTTTTGTCTTATTTGCAAACCAAGCTGTAGATATCGCTGTGCTCAGATAAGTTGTTAGTAAAGTGACCAAATGGTACGCATACTCTCTATCAAATGTGATTTTATTACTGTGTTGTACAGCTTGGTAGGGTCAATGCCCTTGCCCGTTTTGTGGTGGACTATTTCACTGTACAATCTAATGTATATAATAGGAGGCAAAAGTAATACAAGGTCTTACAAAGTCAGGTTAGATATTTGGAGTTCCATTGGAAGAATAACCTTTAGGAACACAAAATCTGTTCCATTTCATATATATGTGGCAACAGCATCAAGTTGTGGCATTCTTTTCATGAGAGCACTGTCAATTAAAATGTGGCCTTAAATGTTTTATAAAGGGTATAAATAAAAATCTCTCCCAATGTACTTAAAAAACCATGTGTAAAATTGCACCCTGAGTAAAAATGAAGGAACAATATTGTAGACAAGGATTTTCAGCAGAAGGAAGTATCTTTAATGTACGTGAATATTTTTGGAGTATACACATTGATGCACGTGTATTCAACCAAATAGTTTGTACTTAGAGTTCTTCTGTTTTTGTTTTTTTCCTCTCAGAGGAGATATTGTAATTGTGAAAAGCCCAAATGATCCCAAATCAAATATCTGTAAAAGAGTAATTGGCTTGGAAGGGGATAAAGTCTGCACAAGCAACCCTTCAGATTTCCTTAAGAGTCACAGCTATGTAAGTATTAGTTTCTTGCTTTGTAAATTAATGATTACTTAAGTAGGCCTGGTAGTCTGTAAAGGATGTGCAATATTGGAGTATCATCATAAAGTATGACGTACATAAATTATTTTTCTTCTTGTGTATGTACAGTATGTTGTAATTTGTAAACTCTGTTCATGGCAAGCTGTCTTTCCCAGGGTCTTTTGTCTCTGTAGGAAGTGCAGGCAGATGATATTTTTGCTCTGCCCTTTGCTTAGGTCTTCTTCCCTGGAAGAATACTCTAAAATTCCCTGTGTAAAGTGCAGTACAGATGGCAGAACCAAGGGCTTGGTCTTAAGGCAAAACTGTTTCTGCATTTTAAACACAAAGAAGTGAAATTTTTTTCTCTGCAATAGCTTTGAGGATTTTGCTTTCAAAATTATACTTTAGTGTATCTGTGTATTTAAATGTAACAATATTTAAACTTTTCTGACTATGGTTGGAAAGTAGTTTTCCTAACTTGTCCAAAAAGTCAGGTACAAAGATGAAATAAAAAGGAAAAAATATTCTTAATACTTACTTGTCCTTGTGCAAGACAGACTTAACAGAAGTTTGGAAAGATTTGTGACAAAATGTTTTCAGCAAGTTGTTTTTAGGCTATCATTAGAAAAATTGTCAGAAATCCTGATGACAGAAAAATGTAGGGTTTTTTTTTTCCCAAAAGGATGTTTGACTGTTACCTCTGTTCTGCACCTTGTGGAGACATCAGATTTTACACAGGTGCTTTGAATCTTAAAAGAAAGATACTCTGTTGCCTTTTCACATCCACTTCATCCTCATAATTAGCGTAAGAATTAGCATCTGGCCCATAGCTGAAGTCCTGTGCTGTGCTGGTAGAGAAGTTTATGGAACGCTCCTTGCAGCCAGTCACTGCTTATGATAGATAAATCCATTAAAGAGTTTAGCTACCATAAAAACAGCCAACTTCACCAGTATGCCTTCAGGTACCATTGCTTCATTTGTATTAAGCAGCGAAATGGAGTCTGTCCTTACTAAAATCGATGACAAAATCCTTGTCAACATTGTGTCTAGATTTGGTGTCTGGATTTAGTCAAGACCTAGGACCAGAACGCAAGCATATGGTTCTTACCCTCTTCTGAGGGGTTGAATTTGTTGCATTTTCCACTCCAGTGTTGAGGCAAGAAATTTCAGGCACCTGCCTCTGATCTGCCCTTCTGATCAAGTGCTTCTGTTCACATTCCTGTCACTTGTGGCCAGAAAGGAGCTCATTCTGTCTTACCTTTTGAAGGGGAAGACAGAGCATTTAGTTTTTCTATAAACCAAATTGTGTTACCATTTAAACAAGGAAAAAACCAAACAAAAACCCCCAACCCACCTTTCTTACCAAGTTGAAGAAATTTTCTACCTCCTGTGGGAGAGGCAATTTAGATGAAATATGAATTTCCCACAGCATAACGACCTGAAATGGAAACCTGAATTCTGTGTACACTGACAGAACTGAGTTTCTCTGAGCATCATCATCTTTCCTTGTCTTAGTCTTGAAAAGGAAGTTCAGGAAAGGTTTGTACTTAACAGGATGTCAGCTGTTCTGGAAACTCTGAGGTAATCAAATACCCAGCAGAACACTTTCTGCCCTAGGTGTAAGATTTCTTTTCTTCAATTTCAATATAAAATGTAAGGAGAATGAGAGGATGAGGAATGCAGACTCCAATTTCTGTTTTCCTGTGTATGTTTTTCAAAAAGGCTAATGTGTGGACATACAGCACAGTGACATGCAAGCTTTCTTAATTCTTCATAAGTTGTAACTAGGGGGAGAAATGATCTAAATGGAAATGCTTTTGTTTGTTAGTGCGTATCTGTCTTCCTCCTATCTTTAGTGGTAGATCTTTCCATCTGTTCAGGAGACGTATCCTTTACAGAAGAGTATATTCTCAACATAGATATCTGCACTTTATGCTCATACCTTACACTGGATTATTCACTAAGTAAATTGTTCTTGTTGGGGAGGAAAAAAGTGATACATGTCTGTGTTCAGATGATTGTCTAATCAGGTTCCTTATTTTAGTGAATCACTGTGCTATGCACTTTGAATTCAAACACAAATTTCTTCAAAGCAAATAGCAGCAGCAGATGTACAGAGAACTGGTTATTTGTTTTGCTGATACTTCCTTGAGAAGAATTAACCTGAGCTGGGTTTGTGGGGAAACAAAAAAAAACCAACCTAAAAAACCCCCACAAAACCAAAAACCAAACAAGATTGCTGAAGATCCCAAAAGGCCAGAAGTGCTGCCAGAGAAAGGTACAATTGCAGGTGCTCTTTAAGTGAGCAAAGCCTAGAAATTGTCATGAGGTTTGTTTGTATTAAGCTACTAGTTGGTTGGTTGGTTGTTTTTTTTAAAATGAGAAATCTCCAAGTGATACTTGAATGCAGTGACTCCAAAGCATGTAAGGTCAGAGGACTGTTTGTTTTTGTTGCAATGAACTGCTCAGCTTCCTTGATTAGCTTGTCGCCTGTTTTGGGGAGGGATGGTGAATAGTTGCTGTCATGTTTGCAAACTTCTTGCAGTAGAGTAACTGCAAAGCATCAGATGCCAGAAATATTACCAAATGTGGTAGTTCGAACCTCTGCTTTGTTCTTTGCTGGTGTTTGCCCAATAATGGTTAGGTATGATGAGTTACCCAGTTGCTGGGGATGTCAGGATAATGGCAGCACAACAAACATATTTAACACAGCTGAGAGGGAAACCTCCTCTCATCAGCTGCTGCTCGTCATCCCAAAAGGAGAATCCTTATGGTCATGTTAGCAGGAATTGTGCTTGGTCTGCAGTGACTGTGTCAATGTTAGTGTTGGCATCTCTTACAGATTTTAAGTTAGGGATTTATGTGCGTAGAAGCACAATCATACACGATTCTTACTCTGATAAGAATTAAATCAGATCCTGCTCCCAATCCTGTTTCATTCATGAATATACTTCTCAGGATGGCTTATATATATAGACAGGAGAATACAGAACTCTGTTTACAATTTGCTTTCTGTAAAATTACACAGATGAGATACTTTATTGCTGCAGACAACCAAGTAGATACCTGTAGATTTAAAAAAAACAAACAAACAAAACAACCAAAACCCCAACAAACCAACCTTCCAAGCTATAGTAAAAATGAACAATAAATCATACATAAGTTGAGTAAGTTGTTCTGAAAAGAGATATTTCAGTTGAGCAGAGATGCAGTACAGCAGTGGCAGTTATGTGAAAGTCTTTACAGTGGTATAAAAATACTTTTGCTGCTATACTTAGCTGAAGTAATATATCCTATGAGAAAAATTATTTTTGTCAGAGCGTACTAAGTGTAAAGCTGTACCAGAAAACTGTCTTTGATGGAGTCATGGCTGGATTACAAGCTGATGGAACTAATCCCACATATCAAATTGACTGGTCTAAATGAAGCCTGTGCTCAAATTAAAATTTAAGTACATAAGGAATGTCTTTACCTTGGACCCTTTATGGTACGTGATGCTTTATATGCTAGAATCTGCAGAATAATAATGAGGGGAATCTTCCTATTTACATGGAACGGATGATGAAATTCCTTTTTTGAGTAAGTTGCTATAGTAATACGAAGTTAGGAAAATTTAATTTTCCATTGTCTTTTTATTAATATTCAGTATGGAATATGTAGGCTGGCACTTTTGCTGGGCTCTTTTTTGGTTTTGTGCTCAATGATGGTGTGTTTAGGTATAAGTAAGTGTATTTACTGTAATAAACATTTAAGAATGCATACCATTTTTACTGTATCAGAAGCAAAGTGGTATGAATGCATAACTTAAGAAGGTAAACTACTGATTTTAGGTAATGTGGTATTCAGACCCAGTTTCAATTACTAAAAAAATATATTTACTGATTTATTCATTGAACTATAAAATGCAAGTAATGTGGGTTAATAAGGAAATTACTCACAGTAGACCTCTGAAATGGTCTTTAAAAAAACAACTGAAAGGTTAATTTTCATATTTAGGTTTTTATTTCCTGTTTTTAAAAGTCTTAATACAGATCCAGTTTTATAATTCAGATTGAGTATCCTATTGTTATATTTGAATTTGTTTTAATGCCATTTACTTTAGCTTTAATTTCTTTAGTACCATATGTTCTTGTGCTGCAGCTCCTATTTACAAATTGAGAAAGTGAGGGGTAAGTCATCAGATTAAAAGAGCTTGTATGTCATAAACCACCAATATGCTAAGCCTTTGTGTCACTTAAACAAAAGTAGTACCTAATAATGTCACTTAATACAGCTAGAGTCTGTAAATAAGGAACTGCCTTTTGCAAGTCATAGTGATAAAAAGCTGAGATACAAATCCATATCTCAGCAACACTCTGCTGGTAATCAATCACAACACACCACTAATGCTGTGAGACTAGCTGATGTGGGGGAAGTATGTTTACCTTCTGCTAAAATGAGGTTCATTGCGGAGATGGCATCTCTTCATCCTGTGGTTAGCTCCAGAGCTAACATAATTCCGAAGATAATGCATCTTACTGTGTTTGCAGATTGGAGAAGTGGTCTTGCGCAGCGCTATTAACTCTTAAACAGTCCTTGTCAAATGCAGTAAAAATATTATGTGGATACTAAGAATAACATAATGTAAACAACACAATACCTTAATCACTGGACAGTACTACAGATTTTGGATGTACAACGTAAGACACTGAGGAGTGGTTTGATATTTCAGAGCACTCAATACCATTGGGTAGCCTCTTTAAAATATCCTAAATAACAATTAAAATTCTCAAAACCCTAGGTCTTACTCCTTTGTCCTTAGTATCTTAACAGCTAGCTTACACTCATGGTTTAGTATTTCAGTAATGTAAGTTTTAGTAGTTGCTGGCCAGGAGAAAAGAAATATCCTACTCTTTCTCCTTCTCCTTAGTTCTAGCGTTCTAGAGGCTTGAGAGAAAGTTATGCCATAGTCTTAAGCAGCAGGTATGCTAAATGTCCGGTGGGAAAGGAGAACT